TTATTTCTTTGATTTACCAAATAATTAAGACTTATTCTGCAACATTGGATTGAATATTTTGAGAATTAATTTTAATCTTACCCACGTTTTCTTATATAGGATCAAGAATTTTTTTAAACCGCTATCATCGATTAATTTGAATGGTCTGCCATTTAAAGTGACCAACTCAATACAAGCATCAATTATTATTTTTTTATTTAGTATTACTGATATTGTATGCTCTTTTAATGCTTCTTCTATCGTCTGTTGGCTTGATGACATATTAAGCTTTTTTATTTTATTAGACTCTTGTTAGGATATTTTGTTAATTTTATCGAATTCTAGATGGTGGTTATTTTTGTGGCGCTCAAGATTTATAATGGTCTTTCATATTTATTTAACAATCAGTAATAAATATTAAATTATGATGCGTCATTTATATTACTATATGTAAATAATTTATACATTGGATTTAATTTTATCTAGGCATTATATTTATAAGCTTAAAATATTTAAAAAATGCTATAAAATGGCAATATACTAAAGTTTATAAAAATTATGACTGACACTTATCAATCAAATGTGATTGATTATAATCTTTAAAACAATTCGAATATAATTAAAATTTTTCAATATACTAGTAATAACTTACACATTATTTTATAGGCATAAAATCATGAGGCTCGAACCGGTTCAGAAGCATTTTAGCGTTTCGCTTCAGGTTCGGCTATAAATTATTTTAGCGGGTTAGGTTTGGTTTAGGTTCGATAAAAAACACCGATTTATAGCGGTTTAACGGTTCGGTTCAGGTTCGGTTTGGATCCTTGGTGATGAGTATATATATTTCAAATCTGTATATAAAAAACTTCAGATCCGATCCAAAATTTAGCCTGTAAATTTTATCCAGAATGGGCTGATAATATGGCATGGTTTAAAAAATTTGGGCATTAAAAGTAAAACTAAAAATTATAAATATAAAACCAGTTGGAAAATCTTAAAAATTAAAATTTTACAGAAATTTTTATAATCCAGCCTGGCACTTAAATAATGTAAATTATAAAATTTATTCGTGCTTAAAATAATTATTTTTAGATTGGGGTAGGTTTGAGAATAAAATAGGTTTTCAAATCTGGACCTGATTCAAAAATTCTGATTTTACAGGTCTCTGATATATTAAGTAAAAAAATATATATTTACCAATTTTACCAAATTATTTTTTAGTTGAAGAGGGTAATAAAATTAATATTTTATGATATTCAATTTAATAGAAATCATATGATTCATACAAGATTTTTGAAAATTCGAAATTTTCATTTTGTTACTAATATAAATATATCAACTCCCTATTAATACTACAATTAAGATAATGTTTTAGATATGATTGAATTTTATTTTAGGAAGTCATGTTAATTTTGTCTCCTGTCTTTATTATATCTGATGTTATCAGAGAGTCTCTATTTTGTTTAAAATATATTTCTTTTTTTCTTCTTTGTTATTTCCACCTAATTTCTTCTAACTATTTGCATTAATATTACGAATGAATATTCAATTTATTTTTCATATTTAGCTGTCGAATGTAATATATTTGATTAAATGCTTATAGAAGATATTTAAAATATATAAAAATATATTTCATATTAAAATTTTCCTTTTATTAAAAAATATTTGCTTATATTCTTGTATAGATTTCTCCTGTAAGCATAAATAGAGCGTGTTATATTTTTGAAAATAATATTTTTAAATTTATCTATATATAAATTAAACTTTCCTTTATTTAGTATTCTTTTGTAAGATAATTTATCTATAATCCATCATTGACTATTTCTTCTGGTCATTATGATATATTGTAAAAATAAATATTATTTTAACAATTTTAGAAAACATAAATTTTTTTTATGAAATTAATTTTATGATTCATTATATATATTTGTTAAAATACTATGTCTCAAAATATTTTATAATTATATAGTATAAGGGAAGTAAATTTCATAAAATTTTTAATATATATTTAAAAAAATATTTTCATAAATATTAATATTTTTTGAGATATTTTGGTATTGTTAGTTTTTAATTTTAATCAATCATGTTATTAAAAATATTATAATAAACAACTTTCTTTGTGTATAAGAGATTTCCATCCTTCCACTTTTTTTCTTGAATTAGGTTTCGTAAGAGTGGGAAACATAAAAGATTGAGAATGCCTTTTTTCAATAATATGAAAGTTTGTTAATCAAATGAGGCCAATTAAATCAAGCCAATTTATGAGCACATATTTTTCCTTGTTTAATTTATTATAAATCAAAACTTTGTAGTCCAAACATTAGGTACATTATATAGAGATAAATTTTTTATCTGCTAGTTTAATTTATATTAAAACTTACCAAAGTTTTAAGATAATTTAAGTTTGAGTATGTTTTCATTATAAGGGTTATTAAAAATTCTTTATTTAAATCGTAGGTTGGCCAAGGTTAGGGATTTCTTCCAATTTAGAAATTCTTCAGAAAAACCAAATATATATTTTTTGTTATAACATGTCAATAAATATTGATGGATAGTTTATTTTAAATTATAAAATGTTATTTTTCTTAGCTATAATATATTTCTGAAATAATTTTAAAATTTTATTTTGCATATACTGCTAGAAATCAAAAAAATAATCTCTATTATATTATCATTATGATATTTAATATTTTATTTGGTGATGGATTATTAAGTTTTTGGTTTATTCATTGATTTGTAATGCTAAATAATTTATGCTTTATTTGTAAACATTTATTTCATATACCATATTTTTTTTAAATATCTGGCATCTATTAATAATTAAAATATGTGTATGTAGATTTGTTTTATTTAACAGTTTTATCACCATGAAAAACATTTATCACTTAAGACTTTTAAATAATTTAAAACATCATCTTCTTATTGTGATTCATGACTTTAGACAAACTAGTAGCTACTAGCGTTCTTATAAATATCGATTTTTATTTTAAAAATAAAATCCTGCTTCGCATTTAATTAAAATTTAATTTTGATAATATCTCTCAAATTTGTAGATTATACAATTCCATTTGATAAGAAGATACAAGGAGACACTTTCGATCATCTCATATTTAGCTTAGGGATACATAACCTAGTCATTCTTTAAAAACTCTTTTTAACTTAGACATAAACATATGGTATCTAGATGACATCACTATCCTGGTCACGGCACCACTAAAAAAAACCTTAACACACAAACTAAGAAAAAACCTACCTAAAACAAATCCTAGAAACTAACCCAACACTTCTAAAAAACAACAAACTATCAAAGATTATACGAAATTACAAATCAGGAAACCAAGAAAAATTTTATTTTTGATAATATAAATAATTTTTCCATTTTTAAAATTAATTCCACAAAAAGAATAATCATTATTATAATATCAAATCTATATTATATATCTACCATATTACAAAAAAACACGTGATTATGTGACGTGTTATCATATATACTATATATATTTATAACTACAATTATATCTAATGTAAAAAAGAAAATATATAATGTAAACGTATTTACGAATATGACAATCACCATCTGCGGATTGTCACATAGCCTAATACTCCTATCTTTATTTTTCCATAACAATAAAATTATAAAGAACAAAATATCCGATAATAATTAAAAAATCAAATTATTATTTCATCTCGAAAAAAAATTATTGACAAAACACCCATAAATATTATTTATAAATCGACAGATACAATACGCCCCCTTTCTTGAGAAGTCAAACTGGGGTGAAGGAATATAATTTATGTATATATATATAATCCAAGTAAATGTCTACATAAATTTAATAAAGGATTTAAAAATATAAAAATTATTACTATTATTTAATTTCTTTAAATTTTCTTTTTCTGTTTCAGGAAGTTGTATATTTTTTTTCCTGACCATATATGATTGTCACTAAATCTTAACAGTTAGTGAGTTATAGCTTGATTGACATTGTGCTGTTGATTGTCATTAAATTCTAATGAGTCATAGCTTGATTGATCTATTGCACTATTGGTCAGTCAATATCATTCTATCTTAAGCTTAAATCATTAATCCAGCATTATTGTAGTTGATTCAATCTGTTTTTTTTCTTCAAATAATATCCTAATGTATTTTTTATTATTTCCCTTTAACATTATCCAGAAACATTTTCCTTATTAGTCATAAACTTAAATTTCAGATATTCAACTCAAAATTTCTGATCCCAATATTCACATTATTATACGATGGACTACTTTCCCCCTTTCCTTCGGTCTAATATAATATTAAAAGGTCGATTCCATTCATTTATATAAGCCCCCAAAATTTTAAAAATAAAAATATTCAAAATTTAATGGCTCCCTCAATTACCATTTATATATATAAATCCACATTTACATATATATAAAATCAAAATATTTTTATTAATTTACCTTACCTATATACCATATTATAAAACTTTTAGCTTTATACTTAAAATATTTATGACCCATTCTTGACTTTCATTCCATTTTTAGCACATGTTTAATAACCAACTTTACTTTCGGGAAGGAAAATATTCTAAGTACGAATGTCTAAAATTCATTAAATTTTTTTAAAAATTAATATTGTAAATATGGTATTGAAACTATTATAATTCAAAAAAAATTGGCTGGTTATATGCAGGGTTGTGCATTTGACCGGTCAAATACAATTCGGTCAATTGACCGATATTTGACCGGTCAAATATGGTCAAATTCAAATAAATGTTTTTTACACCAATATTAACTTTATTTTGCATTTATATAATATTATAATAAATCTATTTATAATAATAAATATCATAATATTTTTTAATTCATTCTATAGTCAATGTTTCACCCTCCGTGGCAGAGTCTTGTTCCGATTCATATTCAATATCATTATTTTCTTTAATATTTTTAATCAATCTTAAATTATGATACACTCTTACTAATTTTCCTGCTGTAGAAGCCTTTAATCTATTTCTGTTTTTCGTATGAATATTGCCCTAAACCGACCAATTTCTTTCAGAAGAAGAAGACGAACTAGGAAATGTTAGTAAAATATTAGCGACTTCTCTTAATGGGCAAGGTGGGCAAAATGCATTCCACCAACTTGAGGCTGAAATTTGATTGTTTCTTATAGAAGTTACAACTTTCCACATATTATGGCTATTAAATATACCGCTTTTGCTTCTGAAATTTACTATATTACTCAAAATATTTTGATTATCACCACCTTGTAAAATACCCAATTCTTGTATTATATTACATGCTTCATCAAATTCAGTATTAGTAAGATGCTCCCCTTGATATTGGGGGTCCAATAAATAAGCAGCATTGTGAGCACATGTATTTAGATCAGTTTTTCTCTTTTCAAACATAACCTTAATTTTTTTTTCTTGAGATGGAGAAAATATAGAATCATGGCATGATTGTATTATGTGTTTTTCCAAATTAAGCATCTCGTTTTTTACTTGGGCCAAAGTACATTTATCCCCTTGCACTTTCAACAATGAGGTAGCTAAAGGCGTCCAAAATTCTTCGTTTAATATATTATTGGTAATTTCTATGGGACAAATATCACAAACAGCTTCTTCAACAACTGATGCTTTTAGAGGTTTCTTGCATATTTGAATTTGTTCCATACATTTTATTGACGATGCCCATCTTGTTTGGCTAATTGTACTTAATGTAGATGGTATGCCATGAAGATTCTTATTACGGGAAAATACTGCAGCTGGTATGTGTTTATTCTTGAAAAATTTAAGAATTTTTTTAATTATTGAAATATGGTCACTGAAGGCGTTCAATCGTTCAAAATCGTGAAAGAATAACTGCAATGTATGCGCTGCACAACCATAACATTGTATATGATTATAAATAGATTCAGATTTTAGAATTCTCCAGGCTGCTTTCATGTTAGCGGCATTATCAGTAACTAAAGAATATACTTTTACCGGATTCAATTCATGAATTACATTTTTAAATTCCTGGGCAATATAATCTGCCGTATGGCGATTTTCCTCAGTATTTAGAAATTTGTAGAACACTGGAACAGGCGTCATCACCATAAAATTAATAATACTCTCGTTTCTAATGTTGCTCCAGCCATCTGATACAATTGATAAGTAAGGAGCTTTATCTATTATATCTGCAACTCTCACCTCCATATCACCTGACGCTTTGTCTAAAAGATATCCAGCCAGCTGCCTTCTCCTGGGTAATGTGTAAATAGGACGTATTTTTTTTAAAAATTCTTGGATGTAGGGATTTTCAGTGATGTGGAAAGGTAAATTGCTCGCATATACAGCCTTTGCAAACAATTGATCCAGCTCATTTTTTTCTTTGGGATTAATTCTATCTATGAAACCGGTTATACAAGATTGAGATTTATATTTAATCGCCTTGCTTGTAGATTGATTAGAAATAATGGAATCAAATTCTCCTGAGTCACAAGACAAAATATTGTTCATTTGATAATCATTCTCACTAATTTCACCCAATTCTTCATTAGAGTTAGACTTAGAAGTATTACAAATTACATTTGTGATATTTTTTGTAGAGGTTGATATTTTGGAATTTGAATAAAATTTTTCCTTAATTATAACAGGGCACATAGTACAGCTGCTTAATAAATGTTTGACCATTCTATCAACGTGGGTGATATAGGACATCTTGCAAAACTTGCACACCGCTTTAACTGATTTACCATCGCGTACTTCTTGAAAATGTTTCCAAACATGATGCTTTGGTTTGACCATAATCCCTAATATATTAAAATTTAACAAAAAATGATTTTGATTATTGTAAAGTTAATCAATCTTAACTATTTTATAATTATCGACCAATTATTCCAATAATTTCTTAATATTATAAATATAATATAATATATATAACTTTTTACCAGAATTGAATAATATTCCGTAAATCTGACCAGAACAATTAAAATGAAAATTAATTTTAAAAACCAAATATAGCAAGTGTAAGTAAAACAAATGAGAATTAATATAATTTATACTCGGCTAAATATTAAATAAAATTTAAATTTATTAAAAAATAAGAATGAAAAAATTATATTATGATTATAATAAATCGGGTATTTTTATTTTTTTTAAGAAAAATGAATTGAAAAAAATGAAGAAGGCGAGAAACGGCAATGATTAGGCAAAAAAATAACTAAAAATATTACTATATTTAGGAAAATTACATATTTATATTTTAACAATAAAAAAATTCTTTTGTTTTTAACAATTCATGATACAAATAATTTTTTAAATATTTGTAACCTAATAAGATTGATAAACATGCTTTTAATGCATACTAGTTAATTATATCAAAATCTTTATTCGCCATTAATATTTTAGAGTATTTGACCGTATTTGACCGACATGCCAACCCTGGTTATATGGCACTGGAATCAATATAAGAATAAAAATAACCAAATGAATTGTTTGCCTTTAAATAAAAAAATTAATCTCATATTGTTCTTTTTTTTTAATTATTGTTTTCCTAATAAATTGAGATACATTTAAAGGGTAAAACTTATTTAAAGTAAAATAATGAAATTTGAATTCGTTTGTTTTTATTAAATTTTTGGCATTATAAAGTAAATACAACTAACTATTTATATTTTATAATAGCTTAAAACACAAGAGCAATCACCTTCATTTATATTTTCATATTTTATCAGAGTTGAAAGGTTAAAAATATAATATAAATACATAGTATGTAAAAATGTTTTATTTTAAAATTGGTATTTAATTTATATAATTAAATTTATATGATAATTAAATCAAAAAGAAGAAAGAAAGAAAGAAACAAAATATAAATTAAATACTTATTTTTAGACCGTAGATTAGATTTTATTTATTAGATTTCAAGCCAATAAAATTTAATGTTTAAAAATCTACCTAATAATTCTTCTCTTCCCATGCCGCCCTTTTTAGCAAAATCTTGGCTTACCTATAAGCTTAACATTGCAATATAGTAGTTAAGCGCCTACATTTATTAGTCTTCAAAATTGAAATTTGTATTCATTACCAAATTTAAAATTCCAATAAAAATAGTTTTTATGAAAGATGGAATTAATTACATTTATATAAGGTTACATACACGATATAGTAATTCAAATATGTAGGGGATATTGGGGTATGTTGAGTACAGGGGAACGATAATTCACTCCAATTTTAATATAAACTTTTATTTTATAGACTTAAAATTTAAGTCTAATATAGATAATTACGTCATATGTGATTTAAAAAAGATTTGAAAAATATGTATATATTGATTTTTACATAGAAAAATGGGGTTTAGCATACCCAAAATAACAAAAATTAATTGCAACCTTTTTCTTTTAGATTTATAAATAAACATTAACTTCTTTTCAATTTTAATAAATATTCAATTTTAATCAATTTATTTTATTTAATGAATGCTTGTTAAAATATTATCAATGCCTATAGTTATATAATAAAAATTTAAAAAAAATTTATATTAAAGGCCTTATTTTTTTTGGTGGATTCACCTATTGCTAGAACAATGAACACAGAGTAGGTAAGGTAGGGCAATAAAATTTTGTTTCTCCAATAGCCTATACATTGAGGATTGATAAAATGTTTTATTTATTCACTTTAAAATTATTAAATTTATTAAGGCTTGAAAGAAAGATACCCCAACCTTTATCAGTTTCTCCTTTTTAATAAATTAAATTTGTTTGAAAATAAAATATTAAGTGATAATAAATTTAGAAAAAGAATGAATTATTTAATTATTGGTCTAAATTTTTGATAAGTCATTTTTAAAAAAAATCGAATCAAATAAATTCTTTTATCTTGTTTATGCAATGTTTAAACCAGTCTAAAAAGGTAAATTAATTAAAAGATTAAGTGATGGGTTGGGGGTTAGTTAAAATGGTAAGTTTTCGCTTCAAATGATCAAAATAAATCATAATTAAAAATACATGGTGTAGAAAGTTTCTAAAAGTAAAACAATCTTATATTTTTTTAAAATTTAATTTATAAAAATATTTGAAATTAAGATTTAGCTTTTTTAAAATTTCTTTTTATTATTATTAAAGCAAATAACGAAAAATATTTAACATTTTTTTTAAAAATTAATATAATTTAAAAAATAAATTAGTTTAAATAATAATTTTGAATAAAGAATTTGTTTTAACATAATATTAATTTTTATTTGAAAAATATATTATGATAAGTATATTATTAAGGCTCTATAACGCGATGATATATGTTGTAGCGATAAATATTTATCTGATTCTATGGAATTGTTATGGAGAAATGGATAACACTGCTCTACTAGAAGGTTAATAATATAACACAACTATAATATTAAAAAATAATCTTCTCTAAAACTTACAAAGTCCTTTATAAAGTTAAATAAATTAAATTTATTAAGTGTAATTCTAAAGTAATTCTATCGTTTATATACTAAAAGAAAAATCGTTATTTTATTATTTTATTTATTTAACTATCTAAGAATTTTCAGGTTGATAATATTTATTTTTATTAACTATTTTTTTTGAAAAACCCGCATTTTAAAATATTTGGTTATTGCCCTTAGTAATGGATTTTATTTTAATATATATTTTCTATATATTTAATACTGATATGGGTTAGCTTATAAAATAAAATAATAATAATCACCTTTGAAAAGTACTGTAACCAAAAAATTTATAAAATAGCTTTTTCGAAATAAATCCACCACATTTTTTAAATATTTAATAGAAAAAAAAATTCAACCTCTCACCTGAAAAGTATTAAAATCTAAGCAAAAGCTTAAATCAGCCTATGAATTAACAAAATATGATTGAAATTATTATATAATTATATTATAATATCAAAATAAATGATTAAGAGTTTTTATTAGTTATAAAATAACATGATGATATTAAATTAGCTTGCAGGACTTAAAAGGGTTATGTAAAACATAATAATTACGATTAATTAATGATCTAGTCCTTAAATAATTTTACTATTACTTCTTAATTAGAATATAATTATAAAAAATGTAGAAGTTCTTTATCCATCATAATTTTTTATGATTTGACTATTTTTTCAATAAAATTTTTAGACAAGGTCAATCACTACATAAGTGTGTAGAAGAGGGTATTGGAGAGGGGATTTTCGTCAGTTGTGGCATGTAGTCGTTGGCCAATATAATAAGGCATCGGTCAAGAATTTTTAAATAATTGAGAACATAAGTGTAAAGGAGGGTATTGGAAAGGGGATTTTCGTCAGTTGTGGCATGTAGTCGTTGGCCAATATAATTTAAAGGCATCGGTCAAGAATTTTAAATAATTGAGAATTATAAGGAATATCTTCAAAATTTATCTTTTGCTTAATTGAAAAATCTTTAGAAACTCTAGATTCTGTACTTTTCTAATCAATATAGAAAGATTTAGCTTATTATTTTAGAAGAGTACAATTTTTAAACGACGATACGAATAAATTTGTGATTGATGGATCTGAGTATTTTTGGCTTATCTTTCTATTGGCAATATTAAATGGATCATAATTGCTATGAGATGGCAAAAATCTCAATACAGGCAAAATCTAATTACACATGTCTATTATAGTCCAATGGATTAAGAATATATCGAAGTTGGGAGCTATCGTTATTGTCTAGATGACTTTAATAAAAATAAAATGGGCTTGAGCAAATTGTAATTGATTGATATAAACTATATTCGTAACTTATGTAACTGATTGATATAATTTTAACTTAACGTACTTTTGGTATTAGAGATAAACATTTTTTGAATATTTCTATAAATATAAACGCAGCATATAAGAACTTAAGCCAATTAAAGCAAAACCAAGACACTATGAATAGTTCCATTTTAAGCATTTTGTATTTTTTTTATTTAATCCAGATATGTTTGATTTTATATTTTACATCCTTACCATTACCAGTTTCTTCATATTATAATCAAGTGAATATTAATAATTTGCATCATAGTTGAGCCTGCTATAGTTAAATCCATTTTTATAGTAAGGATCAGTATTCTGCAAATGACAAAAATTATGAGGCTCGGCCCAGGTTTGATAGGAATTTAGGTTTTATCTGTCTTGGCACTGTTTTTTTATAATAACCTGAAATATTTGTAGTTGAAAAATAAACAACTATTTATAATATAAAAGTGTAATTTAAT